GGTCAGACAATCCAAACTGCAGTTGGGAAGAATTATTTTTTCCTTTCTGAATGATGGAACACTTTCAGAACTACCCATTAGAGAGCTTATTTGCCTGGGTGGCCATTTGTGGTTTCAGGGATTAATACAAACTATTTCTCCCACACAGCTAATATTTACCAACCAGGTATGGAGAATGGTATTGACACAAAGATGTGATGATGCCCTCACTCATGTGTCTGCTTGGGCAAAAGGACCTTCCTCTCTCACTGTGGGTCCCTTCCAAGGCTACTAAGTCCACTGAAAACAAGCTCACAGTTTCCCCAAGCAGCTCGCCTCTTCAGGATACAGAGCCTAGATTTCGAGGTTACAGTCTCATCTCTGATCCCAAATCTGCCTCGCCATGTACCAGCTATGCAACTCAGGCAAGTTTTCACATCTCCGTGGACTTGGGGTCCTGCTACCACAGAGGTTTATTTGTGAGCTGTGAAAGACATGAAAAGCACCTGGCAGTTCTGTGGCATATAACTACTACCTATTAAGTGTCTGCTGTTACCAATACCCCACTGATAAAAGTAACGTTGGTTATAAAAATAACACAGCTCTGAGTGCTTACAATTTCTAGAGAAATAAATGCCCTCATAATACAATTCCATTGAGAATGACCTTGTAATCTAAAAGAGCACATTATTAACATGGGATTGCTACTCTCATGACCTCTTTGGAGAGCAACAGCTTCTAATAAATCTTATCTACTGCTTCTTTTCATCCTGAGATGCCAGAAAACACAGAGAAAAACACTTGGCTGTCTTTAGAGCTGTACAGTTTTATTCCACTAGAGTCCTCATTTAAGCTTCTAAACATACACTAGAAAGAGACTAAACTTGCTAAATGTGCTATTATTGTAGACATCTTGATACACATTGAATACCAATAAAACTGTTGTCAAAGTAGTAAGTGTCAAACGATCACCAGATTAAAATATCTAGGAAAGCCTAAAGGTAGGGTGAAAAAAAATCTAGATTCACATTTTGAAGACAAGCCTCAAAACAGCTTATTCGAGGGCATGACCTTATAAAGATTTGGGAGGTGGGAAAGAAGCCAAGAAAAAGGGGGTCTCTGCATTTTCTTTTGTTATCATCTAGCATTTAGATGTTTGCTCAAATCAAGCTTTCTATAGAAGGGAATAAGCTGTTGTTTCCTTTGTGACAGAGTTGAGTTGAAATTCAATTTAATAATTACGTTATGGGTACTGAAATGGCACCTGAGCTATAATTCTGTCCTATTTATGGAACTATTCCAGGAAACAGTCAGAAAAACCCACATACATTCTGGTAACCACACCAAATAATCATTTCTTTATTTTTGAAATCCCATTATATACACATCCAAAACGGTGTGTGAAAAATTTCCCCACAAATCACACATCTACCTATATAATTGTTCCTTTTTGTTTGGTTTTGGAAATAGGGTCTCCTCTCCCTCAGTTGTCCAGGCTGGAGTGCAGTGGTGCTATCACTGCTCACTGCAGCCTTGAAGTTCTGTGTTCCAGAGATCTTCCTTCCTCAGTCTCCCAAGTAGCTGGGACTACAGCCACCACACACTACAACCACCACACGGCTAATTTTTTTTTTAATTTTTCCTTTTGTAAAGACAGGTCTCAGTATGAGACCAAGTTGGTTTGTTCACTTCTGGCTTCAAGCAATCCTCCTGCCTTGGATTCCCTGTGTTGGGATTTACAGGCATGAACGACTGAGCCCAGACTTTTTCTCTTTTAAAGAGATGGAGACTTGCTATGTTGCCCAGGCTGAAGTGGCTATTTACAGGGCTCAAGCGATACTCCTGCCTCAGCTTCTCAAGTTGCTGGGGCTACAGATGCAAGCCACCATGCCTGGCAACAACTGCTTTTCAGCTTTACAGATTTTTAAAAACATGCAGAACTGGCCGGGTGCAGTGGCTCACGCCTGTAATCTCAGCACTTTGGGAGGCCGAGAGGGTGGATCATGAGGTCAAGAGATCGAGACCATCCTGGTCAACATGGTGAAACCCCGTCTCTACTAAAAATACAAAAAATCAGTTGGGCATGGTGGTGAGTGCCTGTAATCCCAGCTACTCAGGAGGCTGAGGCAGGAGAATTGCCTGAACCCAGGAGGCGGAGGTTGCGGTGAGCCGAGACCGCGCCATTGCACTCCAGCCTGGGTAACAAGAGCAAAACGCAAAACTCCATCTCCAAAAAAAAAAAAAAAAAAAAAAAAGCAACATGCAGAACTATGCATTCTCTTTTCTTAGCCTCCCGAGTAGCTGGGGCTACAGGTGCATGCCACCACGTCCAGCTAATTTTTTTATTTTTAGTAAAGATGGGGTTTCAGGATGTTGGCCAGGATGGTTTCAATCTCTAGACCTCGTGATGGACCCACCTTAGCCTCCCGAAGTGCTGAGATAACAGGCGTTAGCCACCATGCCTAGCCAAAACTATACATTTTCATTTCAACTTAGCTTAAAGAAAAACATGTATCTACAAGTGGAAACTTTTGTTTTTCACCTCCCCTCCCTTTTCTATGTGACCTGTAGCAAGTGGCCAGATTTTTCTGGGCCTCCGTTCTTTCATTTGTAAAATAAAAACATTTATCCCCTGCATCTATCAGAGGGGCTGGGAAGCTCCACAGAGAAGTGAAGCACTCTAAAAACTCTCTCCTAAGTGTCAGCATGCTATCATCAATCAAGGGGACACAGCAGTTATAATTTTTACCCCAGAACTTTGTTTAAAGTTTACCGTGTAAAATTTTAATTATTTTCAAATCTTTGACGGGATTTTCAAGAAAATATCATCACTATGGCAAATTTAGGACAAAATGTTCCAAAAGTCTCTGAGGACTGAACTATAGAAAAGAGAACCAATCATTGACTTTGATTAGGAACTGCATTAACCTCTGACTTAATTACCCTAAAAGTTAAGACAATCTCTTTGGCTGTATTGAGAATTTGGGAAGGGTGGGGAGCCAGAAATATAAAGGAAAGATCATGCCACAGCAGCATCCAGCTAGCTCACTCTAATGCGAGTATGGAAAACAAACTTGTCTTTGCATATTTAAATTATTTTAAAAGAGAACAAATGGAAAAACTTCAACAACATAAGGACCCCCCTCACGGAAGAAGAAAAATACAAATGAACAAAATACACCGACATCTCAAAGTCCTAAAGCCAAAAACAACAATGAAGCTCTATTCTAAATATGTCCAAGATAATACTCACTGAAAGCAGAAAGTTTGTATTGCCAGAGGAACAGCTACAACAGAGGAGGGGAGCTATTTTGTCTCTGGAATGAATTTTCTTCCTTCCGATTCCATTCCTTCTTCCTGTACCTAAGACGGAAATGCAGGTGCAGTGAACACACACCCAGGTAGTGCAGAAGTAAGATAGGGTTTCTGAAAAACCACAACTCGACAGAGCAATTTCGTGAGGGGGGGAAGGGGTGGCACATACAGCTAGAGAACAGATTGTCCTTATTTCCAAACCTTTCAAACTCTAAATCTGAGGCAGCAGTACAGTCCCATTCCCTGAATCATCTCATCCTTAGCGTCATCAGCAAGAAGGGAGAACACTGAGAATCAAAGGTTTTATTTATTGAACTTGAGCATGAGACGCACATTAAAACTTCCCCACCACCGACGCAGAGGAAAAGTTGCTCTCTGGCCAGGAGAGACCATTTAAAGGTTCTCCGCCGGTTTCAGAACACAAACAAATTTCCCAATCCTCTGCACATATAGCACTGAAGAATTACTGGACAGCATGTCAGAGGCAGGGACCTGAGGGCAGGCCATCTTGCTATGCCAGGAGGAAGAGATCACTGTTGCTAAGAGTCATCCATCCTTACTCTTAAAATCGAAGAAATCTCTTCCTGATCTCTTCACCAACTCTCCCCACTACTAGAGAAATGAGCTACTCCCAAAGATGTAAGTAAACAGGAGACTGTTTACATCTCCTGTGGGTGGGAGAGGCCCCACCCACTCTATCCTAGGAGAGGGCAGTGAAAGAGGATAAGGCCCAGAGGGATAAGGGTGAGGGAGCGAGGCAAGGAGAGGAGTTCAGATCAGGACAGGGAATGGAGGAGGGCAAGGAGTGAAGGGCAAAACCCACAGCCTGGGAAAGAGAGAGGAATGAAACCCAGAGTGTCAGGTGGACGGATCACGGAACTGGGGGCCAGCGGAGGTTAAGGAAGGAGGGCCCAAGGGTAGGGATGGGAAAGAGAGGAGGCGGCGGAGGAAGCGCGCTGGTGAAGAGGACAGGCCAGAGCGGGGAGGGGAAAAGCAGGACGAGGGAGGGTGAAAGGTGAGAAACGAGGGTGTGAGGAAGGAGGGTCCGGGGCGCTGGGGAGTTGGGGAGAGGATGGAGCGACGGGTAGAGCAGCTTGGGCCGAGCCGCGGGGGTGGAACCCAGACGCCGGGCGGGGGAGGGGGCGGCGGGACGGTGGGTGGGGGCCACCAGGCGGCGCCGGAGACCACCAAACTTTACAACGAGCGAGCCTGCTTCCTGGAGGGAGTGCAGACAAGAAGCAGGAGAGGGAGCCGAGCCTCGCGGCCCGGGGTACGGCGCCGCCCGCCCCTCCCCGGCAGAGCCTCCCGACCCCCTACTCTCCGCCGGGACACGACCCGAGGCCCCGCCCGCCACCCGGGACCCCTCCCCCACGCTGCCCCGGGACCCTCGTCCCAGGACCGCGGGGTTCCCTCCCGGCCCTGCCGCCCGCCCCAGCGAGAACCGGCCAGGCGGGCCCGGCAGTGGCGGCCCCAGGGAGGCCCGGCCCGGCAGCGGGGAGGCGGAGGGCGCGGCGCAGCCCGAGTTTCCCACCTTTTCTCCTGGCCCAGACGCGGCTGGGGCGGACGGGACCTCTCGCGCTCTGCCTCCTCCTCCTGCTTCATGGAGCCATGCGCCTGGGTAGGGGCTCCCGAGAGAAGCGGGCCCGCAGGCTGGCCAGACGCGCGGCGCGGACGGGGCGGGGCGAAGGAGGCCGGCGGGCGGAGGAGGAAGCGGCGGGGCGGCGGCGGCGGCCGGGAAGAACTAGAGGTATTCCCCGGGCGGCTGGAGGACTGAGTCGAGCCGGGACCCGAGTCCTCCGGTATCCCAGCAGCCACCGGAGGCAGTGAGGTAATGGAGGAAGAATGTAGGGAGTCCTCCAGTGGACCACACTCCTTCTAGCGAGTCGCGGAAACCATAGAGATCAGGGCTCCACCGGAGCGCCGGCCCACTGCTGTCACGTGGCCTCCATCCATGCGCTTTATTGGCTGGCGCTGGTTCTACGGGGTTGAATTTTGGACGCTGCCTGCCATTCGTGGGGCCGAGTTTCAGGCAGTTGGAATAAAGAGACACGGGGAAGACCGCGAGAAGGCCAGCGTACCTGGCGGGGCGCAGAGTTGGCGGAGTAGGGCACCTGGCTGTCAAGCTGGCCAGCGCAGTGCGCGGTGGGCTGCCCGGGAGCGGTCGCAGAGCCCGCCGGGAGTCGTAGTCCGGGCCGGGCGCGTGGCTTTGTCCGCGACGCAGCTCGGGATACGGGTCGAGTTGTCCGCCGGGGTGCTGCTGGGCCCAGTCGCGCGTTAGCCATCCGGCACTGAGCTGCCAACGGCTGTTCTCCCTAAGTACCCTCTCTCACGCCGCTTCGCCTCGCCTCGCCTGACCGGCCGAAGCCTGCGAGAGCAGCCCGGAAGGGCAGCTCAGACCATCCTTAAATCGAGCCGATGACAGCCGTGCCCAGCCGGGCCCGGCCCCGCCCGCGGGGAGGTGCGCGGGGCTGGGTGCTGGCCGCTCGCCCCTGGCCGGGCCTGCCTCCTGATGCACCGGGAACGGGCTCACCCACCCGGCTCGAGGGGCGGCAGGGGCCCAGCTGCGTCTTTCTCTCCCGAGCCCCCAGCTAGAGGTGGCTTCGGCGGAATACCCACTTTGCAGGATTGCTCAACAGGCCGATTAAGCACATCTTCACCTCTGGCAGAGCGAAGGCTTCTCTCAAAAAGAACATTACAAAATGTTTTTGAAAGAAATTTGGGGGTAAACTTACAAACATTTTTTGAAAGAAATTTGGGGGTAAATTTAACTGAAATACTGTTTTTTGATAAGACTTGGTCTTAGGACAGCATTTTAAATTACAGATGGGGTTACACTAAAAGTCATTTCTGACCTACTCCCTTACTCTTACGGCTCCAAAGTAAACTTAGTCCCTGAAGCAAAAGTGAGCCCTGTTCTAGAGCCATGTCTTTCTTGTGTAAAAAGACAGCCCCAAGCCCACATACAGGCTGTTTTGTGTTTTGCTTTTCTGTTGATGCACAAAGGAATACTTAATATGTTTGTCCTCAAGGACCAAAGACAAGTATCTAGTAAAAAATGCAAATCATATCTAACAGTGAAGCTTTCCAGCAAAAACCTTCTGCTCTAGAATGCATAATTATGCGAGCATAATAAGATCTTCTACTGCAGACTTTTAGCATAATTACCTATAGGCAGCAAAACCCGAGTCAACTGAGTGTCTGGTGCTTCTAGGACCTGGCCTTCTCAAAGAGAATGGGCAGGGAGGACAGGAAGGAAGAGACAGCTACGCTTCATGGAACAGGTGACTTTAAAAAAATTTTTCTATGGCAGTCTTCTTAATTCCTGTCACCGACTTGAACTGCTTATCTGCTGTTGAGGCCACGGTTGCCAGTTTCTAACCTTCTCTGTCTGCCTGAAAAACTAGAAATTAGATGATCATGTGGCCTAGAGCCAGAAGTGCAGGAGGCAGAAAGCCAGAGGCCGATTTTTTTTTTTCCCCGAATAAGGCCAAATCCTGACTTAGAATAATCAAAATAAATTTTACAGAGTGAAAATCTTTCCAGCTGAAAGTCTTAAAACATGGCATCTGGAAGAAGGCCCTAGTCTATTGCTCCCAGGGTGGTACTATGTAGTCATTAAACAGCCCACAGATAAGGGAGTTACTGCTCCCTGGTTATTGGGCTGCCAGGAACTAAATGATGGAACTAAGTTTCACTTGAAACATTCTCAAATTAAAACAAAAACAAGCCTTGCTTTGAGCTGTTGAAAAGGCATTTTACTGAGAATATCCAGATGCCGTTGCTGTTCTTAAATATTTTTGAAAGGCAAAGGGTCAGAACTTTTCAGAAAGTCACTTTGAGGTCACCTCACATCAGCAAGCAACAGTCTGAACTGATGGTAAAATAAACAATGAAATTACAAACAGGAGGAAGAAACTAAAATGAGGGTCGTTTTTGCCATAAATACGAAAGAGGCTGTGTCTTATTTATCTTTTCATTTCCTGTACATAATTCAGAAACCTGGTATGTAAGAGGCATACATATTATTTGTAGCCTGACTGAATAAATGAAGAAGGAAACCAAGAAGCAGCAGGCAGATAATATACTTGGGAAAGGAGAACTGCAAAGAAGCGGGGTTCCTCAAGACCTCTGCATGATCCTCACATGTCACCCCAATCTGCTGTGACAGCTGTACTACTCGTCAGAATGCCCCAAAATGAACTGTCTGCCTCTCTTATGTACAGCTTTTATCATTTCCTATCTTGAAGGGTTAAGAATATGTCGTAATGGTTAAGAGACTCCACTGTGGAATCTACCTGCATGGCTTCAAATTCCAGCCCTGATAGTGAATACCTGTGACTCAGGCTTATCATCTGTCAAATGGGGATTATAGCATTCCTGCCTCATAGGGATGTTATGAGATTTAAATATCAAAAAGTCTATATAAACCTTATGAGATTGGCATGGCAGAAGTGCTCAGTAACTGAGCGTTGTGAGCATTAGAATGTTGAGATCCGCATGAGGTAGCCTGCATATTGGACATATACATTCTTCTGGATTTGCTTTTTGTGTGAGCAATCAATGATAAGCTAAAGGCATTTGCTAACCAATAGGAATGAAATAAGGTTTCACGCGGTATCTCGGTGGGTGATGTAGATTTTATCTGTCCCATTTGTCCCATTTCTCAACTTGAAGTAAGCCTGGCCGTGGTCTGCATCTCTGCTCTCCCTTCCACAAAAGGCAGGCCCCGAGAGACTCCGGAAATGGCACCTGTCTCCTGTGTGTCCTCCACCACGTTGTCCACTTGGGCACTTCAAAGGTATGATCAGTACTTACCTGATTAAAAGAAATCTTTGTATATACAGATGTCTACATCTTTCAGAGGGATAAAGTAGTTTAAGTAAACAAGCCCTGCAGTGTTTGTTAAGCTATGTTACTCTGAGAAGGTTTTCTTTTTCTTTTTCTTTCTTTTTTTTTTTTTTTTGAGACGGAGTTTCGCTCTTGTTACCCAGGCTGGAGTGCAATGGCGCGATATCGGCTCACCGCAACCTCTGCCTCCTGGGTTCAGGCAATTCTCCTGCCTCAGCCTCCTGAGTAGCTGGGATTACAGGCACGCGCCACCATGCCCAGCTAATTTTTTGTATTTTTAGTAGAGACGGGGTTTCACCATGTTGACCAGGTTGGTCTCGATCTCTCGACCTTGTGGTCCACCAGCCTCGGCCTCCCAAAGTGCTGGGATTACAGGCTTGAGCCACCGCACCCGACCCTTTCTTTTTTTTTAAGATGGAGTTTCGCTCTGTTGTCCAGGCTGGAGTGCAATGGCGTGATCTCGGCTCACTGCAACCTCTGCCTCCCAGGTTCAAGTGATTCTTTTGCGTCAGCCTCCCCAGCAGCTAGGACTACAGGTGTGTGCCACCACACAAGCTATTTTTTTTTTTTTTTTTTTTTTGTATTTTTAGTAGAGACGGGTTTCACCATGTTAGCCAGCATGGTCTTGATCTCCTGACCTCATTCATGATCTGCCTGCCTTGGCCTCCTAATGTGCTGAGATTACAGGCATGAGCCACTGTACCTGGCCTTTTTTTTTTTTTTTTTTTTTGAGACAGGGTTTTGCTCTGTTGCCCAGGCTGGACTACAGCGGCAGCACAACCATGGTTCACTGCAGCCTTGACCTCCCTTGCTCAAGCAATCCTCCTGTCTCAGCCTCCCAAATAGCTGAGATCACATGTATACAGGACCACACCCAGCTAATTTTTGTATTTTTTTTTAGAAAATGGGGTTTCCTTATGTTGCCCAGACTGGTCTCCAAACTCCTGGGCTTAAACAATCCTCCCACCTTGGCTTCCAAAAGTGTTGGAATTGCGGGCATTAGCCACTGTGCCCAGTCTGAGAAGATGTGTTTTAAACTGTGTATGTCATTTGGGTACAGAATTTAACATTAAAAAAGTTCTAAACTTCTAGTACTACCGATGAAATAAATGAAACAAAGAGGGAGAGCTCAAGTCACACATTCATTTATTCTATAAATATTCTCTAAATGGCTACTCTGTAACCAGGCATTTTATATTGCTTTTTTATTGAGATAGGACATACATGTTTAGAATTCACACATCTCAAGTGTACACAGCTTGACCAATTCTTACATTAGTATCCATCCATGTCACCAATTTAAGGTGTAGAATATTTCTATCATCTCAGAAGGCTCTCGTGCCTTCTCCCAGTTCCTAATCCCCCTCAAAAGATAACCGTTATTCTGACTTTTATCACTGTAGTTTTGCCTGCTCTTGAATTCATGGACATGCAAATAGACTCATACTGTCTATACTCTTGTGTCTGGTTTCTTTCTTTTCTTCTTTCTTTTCTTTTTCTTTTTTGAACAGAGTTTGCTCTTGTTGCCCAGGCTGGAGTGCGATGGCATGATCTTGGCTCACTGCAACCTCTGCCTCCTGGGTTCAAGCAATTCTTTTGCCTCGGCCTCCCAAGTATCTGAAATTACAGGCATGCGCCACCATGCCTGGCTAATTTTGTATTTTTAGTGGAGACAGGGTTTCTCCATGTTGGTCAGGCTGGTCTTGAACTCCTGACCTCAGATGAGTCTGCTTGTCTTGACCTTCCAAAGTGCTGGGATTACAGGCATGAGCCACTGAGTCCAGCCTGTGCCTGGTTTCTTTTGTTCAACATTATGTCTAGGAAATTCATCCCTTTGCTTATGTGCAACTATACTTAGTTCTTTTTCTTTGATGCACAGAACCCTGTGCCATTCAATGCACATTGAACAATATGCCACAATTTGTTTATCCAGCATTATTATTATTTTTTTTTTGAAACGGAGTTTCGCTCTTGTTACCCAGGCTGGAGTGCAATGGCGCGATCTCGGCTCACCGCAACCTCCGCCTCCTGAGTTCAGGCAATTCTCCTGCCTCAGCCTCCTGAGTAGCTGGGATTACAGACACACGCCACCATGCCCAGCTAATTTTTTTTTGCATTTTTAGTAGAGACGGGGTTTAACCATGTTGACCAGGATGGTCTCGATCTCTTAACCTCATGATCCACCTGCCTCAGCCTCCCAAAGTGCTGGGATTACAGGCTTAAGCCACCGCGCCCGGCTATCCAGCATTATTTTTAAAGCAATCTTGTTCTCATCCCTGAGTCTAGAGATTTAAGCTTTTTTACACGATCTCATGTTGTTCTACACCCTCAGTGAGAGGATTGAGATGGAAGGTAGGAAAGATACGGTTCCTTCATGCACACTAAATGTAGCAGCTCACTCTCAGATTTCCATGTTAAAGATATTGGGCTGAGGCCGGGCACAGTGGCTCACCCCTGTAATCCTAGCACTTTGGGAGGCCGAGGTGGGTAGATCACGAGGTCAGGAGATTGAGACCACCCTGGCTAACATGGTGAAACCCATCTCTACTAAAAATACAAGAAAAAAAAAAAAAAAGCTGGGCGTGTTGGCATGTGCCTGTAGTCCCAGCTACTCAGGAGGCTGAGGCAGCAGAATCACTTGAACCCAAGAGGCGGAGGTTGCAGTGAGCTGAGATCACACCATCACACTACAGCCTGGGCAACAGAGCGAGACTCCGTCTCAAAAAAAAAAAAACAAAACACCTCTGAGTAATATGGCTTAAC